CCCGGTACCGGAGAAAAACCAAAAAAAAAATAAAAATAAAAATAAAAATAAAAATAAAAATAAAAATAAAAAAAGGAAGAAAAACCACACACAAAAACAACAAACAAATTAAAGGGGCACTAAAAACTGTAAAATTACTATCAGGCTATAATTTTGTTTGTGGACTTGGATCTCAAAACTAAGGCATTTTTATTATGTATATGCAAATATTTGAAAATCTGAAATCTTAAATATTTCTAGTTCGAAAGATTCCAGATAAGGAATATTCAGCTTGTACAAATAAGATCACCTTCCAAAATGTACAATAGATATTGTAAAATGGGAAGAAACTTCAAAAGGAGAGGAAACTGGTTTAAGGGAGTGGAAAAAAAGGAAGGGAAAATCAAAAGAAAAAATATATATATACATAAATACAAAAGATAGTTAAAATAGTTATACTACTAATTTCAGTTCATTGAAAAGATAGGTTTGTGCTAATATTGTTTGGACAATTAAATGCCTATATCTCAAACTCTGAGTAACTAATTTGAAAATAATAAATGCACAAGGTACTAACCATTGTTACCCTATCATACTGTTTTGGAATTTTGTTTTTTGTTTGTTTTTCTTTAAAATAAAAATTAAAAAAAAAAAACAAGGGCTGGGGATGTAGCTCAGTAGCACAGTGCCTGTCCAGCAAGCGCAAGGTCGTGAGTTAGATTCCTAGTACAAAAAAAAAAATCTACAAAAAACCAAAAGAAACAATGAAGTTCCTAATTCATTTAATATGCTAAAATAAACAAAACAAACAAGATCACCTTAGATTTCTGAAAGGAAATTTATTTGCATTTCCTATTTCTTCTAAGAGTGATATAGTTCAACAGATCCCTAGCCTACTGAGGAATAACAACTTTCTGGTTTTCCTTATGTATATGTATCAAAAAGCGAGAGTCATCAAAAATTCTTACCTGAAATTCTCTAAAACAAAAGTAGCTGAATCATAAGATGGTACTAATTCACTAAAAATAAGCAAAAGGAAAAAAATTATTTAGTTTATGTAAATTTAAATTTCATTTAGTTTAAAAAAAAATCCTTCAGATACATTCAAGACATTTCTAGATAAATGAATGCACCTTGAGTCCACACTCGTAAGTGAAATCCGACAAATATGTGTAAATACTGCATTGTTTCTCTGGTGTGAAAAACTTAAAGTGTAAATAAGGACCAAAATTTATAGTAGGTATTGTGAAATAAGAAGAAAATGTTCAAATGGGGAGGGAGAGGAGGCGGGGACAGAGATAAAGCTTTTATAAAAGGGGAGGTGAGGCATGGTTGTGGTTTACAGAAGGTAGGGGCACCAAAAAAAAAAAAAAAAGAAGGTAGGGGACTGGGGAAAAAAAAAAGATACGTCATGTAGTTACAGTTCTCTACGATGAATGTGATCATTATGTATATCTAAAATCTACCAATCAAATCTGATAGAAAAAAAAATCCTTCAGTAATATCCTGAAAAATTTAAACTAGTCCTTACAAATATTTCCAAACCTTTACTGAACATAACATTCAGTCTAATGAGTTCATAAAATCATTAAAATGTACAATTCAATTGTAGATAAAACAATTATTTTTTAAAGCATTTTTTAAAAAAAGCAATGTATGATTAAATGTTAAAACAGATGCAAGAGACTTTAAAAAGTACTCACAGAAATAGCAATATTGATTTTAGGAAACAGCAAAAAGCTGATGCTTAGCATAGGAATATGAGCTATGAAACATGAAAAGGGAAAAGATTTATAAGATCTAAAAAATAATAGCAAAAGTTAAAAAAGAATTTCACAGTCTCCAAACCTTCTTTTTCAGAACAAACTAGTGAACATATTAACAGACTTAAGTACTTTGAAACTATTAACTAGCAAATACAGTGGTACCTCAAACTCAATTTGTTTTCCGATTCGGGGGAAGATGGCCACAGCCATGTTTGTCTTCCAGTGTGGAGTTCATGAATGGAAGCAAAATTCTGTTGACTACTTTTAAGAACTGAATTGTTTTCGCATAGAACTATTTGTGAAATGAGGTGTTACTGTAGATCTATGGATTTTTATAGGATACATGAAATCATTTAGTGAGATGGACAATAATACTTTCATGGCAAGGCAAGACTACCACAAGCAACTTTATGTTCCATGCAATCCTTCTAAAGAGAACTGAACCATAAATAGGTGGGCTATGGGATAATTTATTTTGCTTTAGATCAATGGATGATTGTGGTACTGTTATTAAAACACCTCAAAAGCCATTAAAGCACCGTTTATAATACTCTACCATACACAATGCTGTAACACACAGTATTATCAATTTTTATATAAAGTTTTAAATTTAACAAAACAAACTGAAAGCCATTTCACCACATCTTCAATTATATTTTCTAAAGTTCACTTCATCCAAATTTTGGCCAAAATAATACAGGATATATCAATAGCACTGTCACACTGTGATAGTGCCTCAATTAGTGGTTTGTTATGGGAAAATACAATATAGATTAAATCTTTATCTAGCTAAGTAAGTCACACCTTTTTCATATTAAGTAGAAATACAGTACTCTGCCCTATAAATGTTATCCATTAGCTACTATCCAAACTGACTATACCAAATACTACTATCATAACTTTAGTCAGTTATTAGAAGACTCATATTCTTCATCCCTGGATCTTTTTTGCCTAGTCAATCCTTACTATTCCTTCATATGACAGATTTAGCATTAAGAAGTCATGTACCCATGCAGTTATACTCTAACATCTCCCCATTATATGCTCTCTATCACTCAATATACACAAACACCAATTATCAGGACCTTTGCAATTAGTGCCTGGGCAAAGTTACTAGAGCCACAAACCTAATCAGTTCTCTAAAGAAGTCTTCCCAAAGAAATATTCAAATTTAACAAAAAAGTTAACATTCTTGGATTATAATTTGGGTAATTTCCAATCATACACACGTTGGTCAGTTTACCTACCAGGTTCAAATCATCTTCCCCAATGTCCCAAGACTCCAACCAATCTCCAGTTGCCCAATGGCAGGTATGATATTTCTTCTACCATGTCCTTAACATCCAGTGTTGCATATTTCCTTTGTTGTTATTTTTGCTCTAAGCCATATTTTTATCAGACATTAAGGATCAAAAGAATTTTGGTTTTCAACCTAGTGAATGCTATTTTTTTCTGCTCTTTTCTTGGCTGGTCAATGCATCAATAGATGAACCCCTACTTCCCATATCATTAACCAGTAAACAGTTTTCAATAAAAATTGGAGTTAAACTATAAATGCCAAATTTTCTAATAAGGGAATGGGCATTACCAGAGAAAGAACGATTTTTACCTATGGCAATGTGATTAACTATCAAAGTAGAAACCTTGCCTGATAAGTGACTAAAAGTGGGAGAGGGAAGAAAAGAGAGGAAGAAAGGGTGAGGGGAGAAGGGAGGGAGAGAAGGAGGGGAAGATACTACCCCAAAAAACTTTAGGGAAGTGAGTGTGAGAATTTATATAGGTGATTGTTGTATCATACTGTGAATTGAAACACACTAATCTTTATACACGACATTATAAAATCTGTGTTTCATTCCACTGATGACAGCCTGGTTCAAAACTCAAATGTCTGATCACACTATCGAAGCAGCAGCCCTGTGATCTTGGTATTTTTAGTTCAACCAAACTTAATGATAGCAGATACTCAGAATTTTAATAACATTCAGTGCTTTAAGAGATATGAGTATGAGCCAGGCAGCATAGTGGCACATGCCAGTAATCACAGCACTTGGGAGACTGAGGCAGGAGGATCATCATGAGTTTGCAGCCAGCCTATACAACATAGTGAGTTCCAGGCCAACCTGAATACAAAGGCCAGCCTGAAATACAAAGGTCAGCCTGAAATACAAAGTGACACTCTGTCTCAAGAAGCCAGAAAGGAAGGGAAGGAGGAATGGTGGAGGTGAAGAAGGAGGGAGGCAGGTATGCAGGCAGGCATCCCTTTCTGGTCATGATCCTCAGTAATACATTTATGATGAGGAACAAGAGCATACACTATTCCCAGCTAGGAATTATTTGCAAGATTTTGACCTCAGAGAACCTTTGGTATGTATGGAAACATTTCTGTCACAACTGCGAAGTAATGAAGACAAAGTGCTGTTGACAAGAGGTGCTACATCCTACAAAACACAGCAAACTTAACTTCACCTCACAAATAATTATCTTGTTCAAAATGTCACCAGATCACATCTTTACAAATAATTCTTTAAAAAGTTAAGAAAAATAACGTATTCCTTTGAAAAGGAATGCATATACCTATGCATACAAACTTCAAATGAAAATGACATCTGGGAACTGTCATACCTGGTAAAGTCTGGTGGAACAGGTGTTGTAACAAAGGACGCCATGGGCTTTCGATGAACTTGCTGAAACATCATCAGGATCTCGGAGCTCTTCAATATCAATTCACTCTTACTACAAGACCGCAACTGTGTGAGGAAAAAAAAAAATGACCCAAACAAAATTATTATTCAACTGCATCTCAAAATGTTTAATGAAAAAAAAATTTTAATGAAGAAAATCAGAAGTGGCACAGTTTGTAATAGCCAAATCTTGGAAACAGCCCAAATGCCTATCAATTGGTGAATGGATAAAGAAGATGTGGTTTTTTAAATATAATGGAGTATTACTCTGCCACAGAGAAGGATAAGCTCAAGATATTCATAGGTAAATGGATGCACCTTAAGACTACACTCTTAAGTGAAATAAATCAAACACACATGTAAATACCGCATTGTTTTTCTGGTGTGAGAAACAAAGAGTACAAATAAGGACCAAAATGTATAATAGGTCTTATGAAATAGGAGGAAAATGGTCAAATGGGGGGGAGTAAGGGAGGGGGAGGGGGAAGGAAAGAAGGGAAAAGCAAAATAAAAATTTGGAAAAGAAGGAAAAAATGGAAACAAAGCTTTTGTAAATGGGGAGAAGAGGGGTTAAAGGAAGGGTAGGGGAATGGGGAAAAAAAGAATCAAGTTATATCATGTACAGGTACGAATTCTCTATGATGAATGTGATCATTATATACACCTAAAAAGGACCAATAAAATCTGATTTAAAAAATTAGAAATTAATCTAGTTACATACTGAAAAAGATGAGAAAAAAGGTTTAGAATTAATCTTCAAAGAATATAGGTTTATTTATTCTCAAACAATAAAATCATTGTATACTAGATTTTCATCCAGTTTTTCTTTCCATATTTTAGAGTAAGTCAAATATTAAGCAACTACAGATACATTTTCAGTCAAGCATGATGTCATTTCTCAGATTGCATTCTAGTTAACACAAATGTTATCATACATACATACACACACACATGCCCGCACTAATTAATGTATTACTCAAATGCTACATGGGTGATATGCATAAAACCCATATCATGGTTTAGATCTTAAATGTCCCCAAAGGCCTATTGTTAAGGTTTGTGTCTAGATGTCCACCCAAAGCCTCATGCAGTCATGGGGCAGGCTTCTAGAGTACATGATTGATTCATAGTCCAATGCTGGGATTATGGGTGTGAGTGCTACATCAGCCCTGAGGGGGGGTAGCTTGCACACAATGTAAGGGAGGGGAAGAGGCTTGCTCCCTTTTTGCTACTGTTGTTTTTGCTGCTTTCTGCAGCAAGGAATTGTTGCCCTCTGCCATGTACCGCACTGCCTTGGAGCTAGCCTAGTATGGACTGAAACCTCCACCAACTGTGAGTTAAATAAACCTTTCCTTCCTTAATTCTGGACATCAGGTATTTTGTCTCAATGAGAAAAAAGTAACCAAGACACCAATACACTAAAGACTTGGTAACTAGACGGCCATGCTATTGGGAGGTAATGAAACTTTTTTACTGGTGAGGCCTAGAAGCAGCATGTCAGTTAATTGGGTTATGCTTGTATAGTGGTAATGGGATCTTGATCTTATTTTTTCTCTTCCTTCCCATCTCCCTGAAGTGAACAGATTTCCTCAGCCATTTATGAATTTCTACAATAATGTGCTGTCTTGACCACAGGCTCCAAAGCAAGAGGCACAAGACCACACATTCAAACATCTCAAACTGTGGGCCAAAAAATTCCTTTCCTCCTTTAAAATGTTGTTTTAGGTATTTTGTCACATAAAAGGAAGCTGGAGGCCAGGCACATAGCTCAGCAGCGTAAGTGCTTGCCTGGCAAGCCTGAGGTCATGAGTTCGATTCCCGGTACCAAAAAAAAGGAAGCTAACTAGCACAACCAATAATAATTCGGTTTATAATACATCTTCTAATTAACAGCTGCTTATAAAACCTCACCAAGAATAGTAACATGTGATATGTATTAGGGCTTGTAGCCTTGAGTTTACCAAGAATAATGATATCACATATGACCAGGCTACTGGATCAACCAATAACAATAATAAATGATAAAAGGGCAGAAAAAGCAGGCAGCTGCACATAGTTTGTCATTCATATTATTATGTATCAGACATTGCCCGGAGTACTACTCTGTCACAGAGGATAAATTTGAGCCATTTATAGAAAAATGGATGCACCTTGAGACTACAGTGTTACGTGAAATGTAAGTTGGACACATAAGCTTAAACATCACATGGATTGTTTTTCATGAGGAACCCAAAATATAAAGAGCAAAATAAAAGATAGATAATAGACAACAGGGAGATAGATCTTTTGCAAACTGGAAAGGGATCAAGAGGTGGGGTGGGGGTGGGGTCAAAAAGAATTAAGATGTGTTATATACATGTATCAATTCTCTACAATGAATTAATCATTATATATTGCAAGCATGTACTAATAAAAATTAAAAATTAAAAAAATTGTGTGGGTTATTAATGTTCTTGTTTCTGCAGCATTGGGGGCTATATCCAGGAAACAATGAGCTATATCTCAGCCCTTTTTATTTTTTTTCTTTTAAGACATTGTCTTGCTCAACTGCCCACACTTGGCTCAAACTTGTGATCTTCCTGTCCCCACCTCCAAAATACCTGGGACTACAGGTGTGCACCACCATGCCTGGCCCAATATTACTTACTGAATAATCAACTTTTTAAAATCCTCTAATGTTACTTGAATATTATTTTTAAAAATACATTATTTTTAAAAACACCTTCATGTATATATAGAATGTTTCACTAAACAAATATTAGATAAATTACTGTGCACAGCTTTCCTTTTTTGTTTTGTTTTGTTGTTGTTTTGAGGCAGGGTCTTGCTATGTAGCCCACGCTGGCCTCAAACTCATGGCAATCCTCCTGCCTCAGCCTCCTAAGTGCCAGGATTACAGACATGCACACGATACCCAGGTTATGTGTATCTTCCTCTGACCCCATTTTTTTCCAAACACAACTTGCTCCCTAAAGTTTATCATCACTGTAAATATATTTCTACAGTTACTGGGTGTATATACATCCATAAACAAATTCTGAATATTTTCAGATTTTATCACATATATCTATAGTCTCTATTTTCACACAATAATTTGTTTTATTTTGTAGTACTGGGGATTGAACTAAGGCTTTATTTTCCAGCCTTTTTAATATTTTTTTATCTGGGATAGGGGCTTGTTAAATAATTAAGTTGTTCAGGCTTGGCTCTAGCTTGTAATCCTGCCTCAATCATTCTAGAATGCTGAGTTACAGGCATGCAATACCTTGCCTGGTTTATTCAGTAGTTTCAAAGATTTAATTGTATAAATATTTATAGTTTGATTTACACATTTCAAGAGTTTTAAATAAAATCTTTTTATAAATATAACACCATTTAAAAATCTTTATCAATGGACGTTTATTTCTTAGTCTTGACTAAAAAACTCTAGAATAAGGACTTTTGTATGGAGTTCCTTATACACATATTCAAGTTTGTTTAGAACTAAAACTATTGAAGCATACTGACAAATTGAACAGATATTAGAAACTGCTCTCCAAAATAGTCCAACAAATGTACACTTCCATCAAAGTGAATTAAGTTCCATTTGGCAATATTTACACTTTTACACACATATTTTTAAAAGCTTGGGGCTAGGGATGTAGCTTAGCTGCACAGTGCCTGCTTGGCAAGAGCAAGGACAAATTTGATTCCCAGTACAAAAAAAAAAAAAAACTTAGTGGACATTAAAATGGCATTTTTTTGAGGTTTTGCTTTGTATTCCTCAGTTTATCAGTGAGATTTCACATTCACTGGCCAGCTAGGCATCCATTTCAGGAGTACAGCTCCTTTAGTGTATTAAATTGTCCCTTGGCTAAATACATTACAGTTCATAAAATGTTAAAACATAGACTAAACACATCTTTATTTTGTGTGCCACTAAGGGAAAAAGCTAAAAAAAATTATGGCATGCTGGCCCTGGTGATGCACATCAATAATCCCAGCACTCAGGAGGCTGAGGCAAGAGGCCAGCTAATGGTCTGAGGCCAGCCTGGGCTACACAGTAAATTCAAGATCACCCTGAAATACACTGTGAAACAGACCTTGTCTAAAAAACAAAACAAAACAAAACCATCCTATAATCAACTATTATTAAGACATCCCATTTTAAAGGTAGCATAGTATGAAAAAATGTACAGCTGAGTTAATGGATTCAGTCGTACAATACTGTGTTAGCTTTCCATCACTGTGACAAAACATCTTAGAGTAACAATGTAAAGGGAGGAAAGTTTAAGGTTGTTGGCTCATGGTTTCAGTCCATCGTCAGTTGGCTCCACTGCTTTAGGCCTATGGTGAGGCAGAAATATCATGGAGTTGAAGGACAAGTAGAGGAAAGCTGTTCACTTCATGGCAGCCAGCAAAGCAAAGCAAAGGGGAGAAAGCCAGAGAGCAAGGGGCCAGGGACAAGGTATAGTCCCCAAGGTCACGCACCATGACCTGCTCCCTTCACCTCGGTCCCATCTTCTAAATCTTCATCACTCCCCAATAAGGCCATCAAATTATAAATCCATCAATGAATTAATCCTAAAGTCAGAACCCTCATGATCCTATCATTTCCAAAAGCCGCACACCTGAACCCATGAGCTTGTAGGACATCTTAGATTTAAAAGTACTTGAAAAATATTAACATATTGTGCCTAAATGTTAATTTTGCTTAATTATGAAGTTACGCATGTTTACACTTGTGTAAAATAGCTGCCTAGCAGTTTTATTTTCTTAAGAGATCACCATATTTAGGTCAGGCACGGCAGTACACATACTCTCAGCACTCTGACAGGCCAAACCAGGAGGATGTAAAGTTACAACCCAGCCTGAGCAAAAATTGCTCAAATTGTCACATCCATCATACCTACCTGCCTTCCCCACTCAGCTACTGGAGAACCCCAGTAAAGGCCCTAGACCATGCTCTGCTTCTTCCCTCTCTCCCTCCTTGCTGACACTGGTCCTTCCAGATGTGGCCCCACCTAGCATGCTATGCCTTGGCATGCTTCCTGTTTCTAGGACAGTATAAAAACTTTTTTTTTTTG